CATAAATAAAGCCATGCTGACTATCCTTAACCTGTCTGTGCCTTTCCAAATACATGTAAATGCTGTCCCACAGAATCTCCTCCAACAACTTGCCCACCACTGATGTCGGGCTCACTGACGTCTGATTCCCTAGCTTTTCCTTACAACCTTTCTTAAATAATGGCACCACATTAGCCAACCTCCAGTTTCCCGACACCTCACCCATGGCTGTTGATGATACAAATATCTCAGCCAGAGGCCCAGTGATCTCTTCCCTAGCTTTGCACGAACTTCTGGGATACACCTGATCAGGTCCCAGGGATTTATCTAGTTTTATGTGTTTTAAGCTCTCCACCATCTCTTCTGTGATATGAGCTCTTTTCAAGACATCACTATTTATTCCCCCAAGTTCCCTAGGTTTCATGTCCGTCTCCACAGTAAATACTGACGCAAAATATTTGCTTAATATCTTACCCAAGTCCTGTGGTTCCAGACAGACAGCCACATTGATCTTTAAGGGGTCCTATTCTCTCCCTAGTTACTCTTTTGCCCTTAAATGTATATATAGAATCTCTGTGCATGCTCCTTAACCCTATTTGACAAAGGTATGTCTCCTTTTTGCCCTCCTGATTCCCCTCGAGTATACTGCTACTGCCCTTATACTCCTCTAGGGATTCACTCGATCCCAGCAGTCTATACCTGCAAAATGCCTCCTCCTTTTTCTTGACCACAGGCTCAATTTCTCTCATTACGCAGCATTCCATACACCCAATAGCCTTGTCCTTCACACTGACAAGGACATACTATCTCTGAAACCTTGTTAACTCATTTTTAAAAGCCTCTCATTTCCCAACCATCCCTTTGCCTGCCAACATCTTCCCCCAAACAATTCTTGAAAGTTCCTGTTTAATACCATCAAAATTGGCCTTAATCCAATTTAAAACTTTACCTTTTATATCAGGACTATCCTTTTACATAACTATGTTAAAACTAATAGACTTGTAGAGACAAATAGTCATTGACATGTAGAGCACCCTTTGATCTAACTCACCCATGCCAACCAGGTATCCTAAATAAATCTAGTCCCATTTGCCAGCATTTGGCCCATATCCCTCTAAACTCCTCCTATTCATATGCCAATCCAAATGCTTTTTAAATGTTGTAACTGTACCAGTCTCTATCTCTTCCTTTGGCAGCTCATTCCATACATGCATCACCCTCTGCGTGAAAAGAAGTTGCCCCTTAGGCACCTTATAAATCTTTCCCCTCTCACCTCTAACCTATGCCCTCTAGTTTTGGACACCTCTACCGCGAGGAAAAGACCTTACTTGTTTACCCTATCCATGCCCCTCATGATTTTATAAACCTCTAAGGTCACCCCTCAGTCTCCGACGCTCCAGGGAAAATAGCCCCAGCTTATTCAGCCTCTCCCTATATCTCGAACCCTCCAACCCTGGCAACATCCTTGTAGATCTTTTCTGAACCCTTTCAAGTTTCACAACATCCTTTCTATAACAGGGAGGCCAGAGTTGCATACAGTATTCCAATTGTGACCTAACCAACGTCATGTACAACCGCAACATGACCTCCCAACTCCTATACTCAATGGACTGACTAATAAAGGTAAGGATACCAAACGCCGCCTTCACTATCCTATCTACTGCAACTCCACTTTCAAGGAAGTATGAACCCACACTCCAAGTTCTCTTTGTTCAGCAACACTCCCCAGGACCTTACGATTAAGTGTATACATCCTGCCCTGATTTGCCTTTCCAAAATGCAGCACCTCACATTTATTTAAATTAAAATCCATCTACCACTCTTTGGCCCATTGGCCCATCGGCCCATCTGATCAAGAACCCATTGTACTCTGAAGAACCTTCTTCACTGTCCACCACACCTTCAATTTTGGTGTCATCTACATACTTACTAACCATGCCTTCTATGTTCGCATCCACTTGCCCCAAGGTGGTCCCCTAACTGACACCTCAGTCACTTGCCCTGCCATTTTCTCCCCCAAGAGAAGTTCAAGTTTTGCTCCTTCTCTAGAAAGGTACATCTACGTAATGAATAAGAAAGTTTTCTTGTACACATTTAAATTCTAGAGAGACCAATACAGTGCTAGCGAGTCTAGATGTGGTCTCACAAATACTCTGGATTGCTTAAGCATAACCTCCCTATTTTTATGCACTTAATTCTCTTTGGAATAAACAATAACCGTTTATTGGTTTTCCTGACTACTTGCTGTACCTGCATACTCGCCTTGTGAATCATGCACTAGGATATGCAGATTTCACACCTCAGAGCTCTGCAATCTCTCATCATTTAGATGTGCATTTTTAAAATTCTTCTTGTTAGAATGGAAAATTCCACATTTTCTCGCATGATATTCCATTTGCTCAACTTTTGCCCACTTAATCAATTTCTCTTTGTAGCCTCATGTCCTTTTCTCAACTTATCTTTCTACCTCTGTCAGCAAATTTAGCAAACATAATTTTTGTTTCCTTCATCCAAGTCATCTACAGTAAATCCTCTACCCGCAAAATCATGAATCGCAAATTCCCTGCCTGCACCAAAAAAAGTAACAACAAAAATCAACATCTGCGGGCAAAACTCACATAGCTGCTACTTTTAAATAATTTTTAACAAGCTCCGCCTCGTGATTTTCACATGGATACAGAGGAATGACTATGTAAGTTTTAAAAGATTGAGGCCCCAACACAAATCCCTGTGACAGACTACTTGTTACATGTTGCCAACCAGAAAACGATCCATTTATACCGGTCTTCTGTTAGCTAATCAATCTTCTAACCAGAGGTAGCCAATCCCTGCCGCTGGACTAGGAGGCCGGGGTTCAAGTCCCACCTGCTCCACTGGTGTGTGAACAGGTTGGTACGAAAATATCTCTGATCATGCCAATGTGAAATCCATCACCATGAGCTCTTGTCTTCTGCAATAAATTTTGATATGGCACCTTATCAATTACCTACTGGATGTCCAAGTTGTACATATCCATAGGTTCACATTTGTCCATAGCACTTGGGAGTACTTCCATAAAGAACTCCAATAAGTTGGTTACACAAGATTCTCCTTCCACAAAACCATGGTGACTCTTGCTGATTAGCTTGATCTCATCCAACTGCCTTACTATGACTTCTTTAATAATAGCTTTTAATATGTTCCATCTCACAGATGTTAAGCTAACTGATCTGTAGTTTCTTTGAATAAATAATGGACATTTGCCATTTTCCAAACTGAAATTCTGAAATATCCCCTTTAATGCCTGCCACTGCATCACATTGACCTATCCTTTAATCTAATTTGCAAGTTAACTTTAGTTAGCTCTGCTTTCCCACCCTCATAATTGCTGTTATTTAAGTTTAAAATACTAGACCTAGCTAGTATTTTAAATAGCTAGCTTCTTCCCCTGTAGTAAGAACCAAATCCTAGGTGTAAAAGCAGAAGAAAAACAAAAGGAACACTTCCTTCCCTAACTCCCTTACTCAAATTGCCAGCACTCAAAGTTGAGCTAACTGGGCCGGGAGGCCTGGGTTCAAGTCCCAACTGCTCCAAAAGGTGTGTAAGAGCATATCTGAATAGGTTGATTAGAAAATATCTGAACCTAGATAAAATTTAGAATTTAAACAGAAAATTATAGTTAAATATTAAATATAAACTACAAACAAAATTTCTAAAAATCTAAATTAAGAACTCCCTTACTTAGCAAACTGCAAGACCCGTCCCAAGTCACACTAGCTAGCTTACAAACAGATTTTAGTGGAAACTTGAAGTCTACGATTGTAAATGTAAAATATTCACTAAACCAGTGTAATCTCAGTGTGATGGGAGATAAAGTTTTTCTTTCCATTAAGTAGTTTTTAAGACTGGCAACCTAATGAAAATTTTCAATACAGATGAAAATGACTGAAAAACAAACATCTGACACAGAATAATCTATTCATGAGTGACTTGGTTAAAAAACAATTTGAATAATTAATAGTTTTATTTGTGTACACTATTCAATTTCTTAGTAAAGTAAGCTTTTTTTCGATATGGACCAGTATTTTTTAAAAACGCCTGTGCAAGAGTGCAATTTCAAGCACCTTCCAAGTTAGTACATTCTCAATTTTGACCTAGAGCTCTGATTCAGATGAACTGAATAATTAATAATCCTGTGAACCGAATGGGGGAGTAACTGGCTTGTATTTAAAAATTATTGATCTTTTGTGTTGGTGATTTTGCTCAGATTATGCAATTATAACTTGCAGAAATGCAGACTTTTTTTTAATAAATTCCTTATTTTCTTTGACAGTTTCATATTAATTATCCTGGTGTTGCACATCCACTGCATTTTGATTCCAGATGACATTTTCCCCAATCTCGGTTAGTGTTCAATTTATTTACGTCTTATTTTTGTCTCTGCTAAACAGTTTTGTTTTCCAGGCTCTATTCAAGGAGTCAGTAAGAACTTTCAACGAGTTTTTTTTTTAAATCGAGACAAACACAAAGGATAATAGAAAATATCATGAAAGAACTACTGACCACATGGTCCATTAAGCGCATTTTTCCAACAGGCATTGTACAATAATCACTGTCCAAATCAGCAGCCATATGAACCACAATCTAAATGAAAAGTCAACTTGATCATCCATGTTTACGATCAGACTTAAATACTTCAATCCTACCTCTTGATCATTGTTATGGATAAGCAGCTTGACACAGTAGTGAAGTTTATATATCAAATAGGACCAGTTATGACTAGGATTCTTGAAGAATTGGGCCACCAGGAAGAGTTGAAAAATTGGGGATGAATATTTAAGATTTGCATTTGCTAATAGTGTTGGTGCCTTATATTGTTTCAAGTTTCTTGGGTTTAAATAAACTGTATAAAAAATGTTTGCAATCTTATTATGAATGTACCATCCAGTAAAAGTTCAAAGAAAATATAACACTTAATCAGAATCTGAAAGAAGCAATTTAAAGGGATAGTTTCATTATCTAAATGGAGCTTGCTTACTTACCAGGCTCCAGCTTAATAACTTTAATGGCTGCCAGCTCTCCAGTATTGACATTCCGAGCCTAAAGAGGAAATAGAAAAGAATTTTAAGCATTAATCTTCATAAATACCCTGAAAATTCTCAACAGCCACAATATAGTTCTGCACTTCACACTTTCTTGTCCAGACTAAAATAACTGCAGAATGAAGCGTCAACAAAGAGAGAGAGAGAGAAAGCCATCTCAGCATTACGTTCACCTCAAAACGTAGAGACTATTATTGCACAAGCTATGACATTCTATTTCAAAGTAAAACATCAAAACAATTTTTTCCTTTTTCTTGAACCAGCATATGCGACTATCAGCACCAACTAGTTCACAAGCCAAACTAAACAGATCATTTGTCAAGATGGCTTACGTTTCTCATCTAAAGATTCTCCTGCCATATGAATCTATACCGTGTTGCACAAGTAAACTTCAGATTCAATAAAATGATGGGATAACCACTGTCAGAATCAAGAACTTCCACACAGCATAAGCCCAATCGATTTTCCAGTCTAGAGCTAGCTCTCTTCTACTTCTCCCCAAAAACTATACCTCTGCTGTAAAGTCAAACAAACACCCTTGACTATACCAGCCATCCTGCAAGATGGCCAATTTAATATCAATTTGTGACCAGCTGAAGAACAGTTCATGTGCAGTTCAATGGCTGGCAGAACATGGATTTAGGCTATCTACGCTAGTGCAAATACGTGAATCCCTATCTCTTCTGATACTATTTCACTGCTCAAAACCAAAAAAGTTAAGAAAATTTAGACAATATTTAAATTGTAAGATAAAGTCAATGAGTCATCTTCAAGTAAACAAGAACAATGCTCATGTGATCATTCTGACTCAGTCTTTGTTAATGACTATATTGCTCATGATTCAGCATTTAAATTGGTATGCCAGTTAAAAAGAACTTGCTACTTTCTTGATGACAGAATTTCTAATACAATAGTTGGATAATAAATGCTACTGGTAATTAAAATTAATTTTAACTTTCAAAACAGAAACTGCCTTCACCAGACGTCAAAAGCACAAAACAATTGAGGCACCAAGTGTCAAAACCAAAAATACCCAAGTGAATTACAGAACAGCCAATACAAAGTCCTCCCCATCTATTCAACAATGTTTTAGTCATCAACAGCAGGCAGCTGGTGTTTTATCTTTTCAATTTCCACACCAGTTACCCAATATCCTCTCAATGAATTCTGTGGAAGGGTCACTGGACCCGGAATGTTAACTTTGATTTCTCTCCACGGATGCTGCATGACCTGCTTAGTTTTTCCAGCAATTTCTGTTTTTGATTGATTTCCAGCATCAGCAGTTGTTTTGGTTTTTATTCTCCCAGTGAGATTGCCAAATTAGTGCTGAATTGGGTAGTTTTGTCCATGTTCAATAAGGAGTAGATCAAGATTGCTCAAGCAACTAGCAAAAGAAACTTTTATCTCAGCAATTTATGCTGTATTAGAATATGATCTAGAAGGCACAAAAAAAACCCAGTTCAATAAAGCAATGGTTACG